TAGGACCTGAGGTAGCAAGTCCTTTCCCGGGGTTATTTCCCTTCTTCTTTTAATGCCACTAGGACCAGCTTGAGAGTCACTGGACCTCTGTCGCACAACAAATCTGTCCATAGAGCTCTGTACCTCCCGTTCCTTTACGATTTGTCTAAAATGGGCCACAACATTGTCATTGTAATAGTCACCAGCACGGCTTGCAATAACTGTGTTAGGGTGATTTTCATCCATAAAGGTTTGCACTTCAACCCACTGTGCACACATTTCCTTAATTTTTGAAGTAGGCACAATGGAGTCCACAACTGGCATAGGCTTCTCAGAGTTAGCCCCAAACCCTTCAAAATCTTTCTTAACTTCCATACTAATTCTCACCCTTTTTACCACAGGGTTGGCACTAGAAGCTTTCTTGGGGCCCATGGTGACTTATTTTGCAGAAACAAGCGCTAAACACAGTGATAATATGGAATGTACCGAATGTATCCTTAGATGCGCGCACACTGGCTGGCTTGTAAACACTGGCACACACAGGGCAGTTCAGGCCACACATGGACAGGTCTCGTATGAATCGTGTCGAATACCGGGTTTTCAATCGAATACTGAGGGAAATTTTTTGCGATATAATGCATCTAATACCAGATTTATCGAATACCGATGCCATCGAATACCGGGGGTCCACTGTATACATGTATATATATATATTATATATGCACCTGGAGAAGAAAGAAGTGTAGAGGAGAGAGAGAGATTTTGGGAAATGTTGAGTGAATGCGTGGGGAGCTTTGAATCAAGTGTGAGAGTAATGGTGGTTGGGGATTTCAATGCTAAAGTGGGTAAAAATGTTATGGAGGGAGTAGTAGGTAAATTTGGGGTGCCAGGGGTAAATGTAAATGGGGAGCCTTTAATTGAGCTATGTGTAGAAAGAGATTTGGTAATAAGTAATATGTATTTTATGAAAAAGAGGATAGATAAATATACAAGGTATGATGTAGCACGTAATGAAAGTAGTTTGTTAGATTATGTATTGGTGGATAAAAGGTTGATGGGTAGGCTCCAGGATGCACATGTTTATAGAGGGGCAACTGATATATCGGATCATTATTTAGTTGTAGCTACAGTTAGAGTAAGAGGTAGATGGGAAAAGAGGAAGGTGGCAACAACAAGTAAGAGGGAGGTGAAAGTGTATAAACTAAGGGAGGAGGAAGTTCGAGCGAGATATAAGCGACTATTGGCAGAAAGGTGGGCTAGTGCAAAGATGAGTAGTTGGGGGGGGGGGGGTTGAAGAGGGTTGGAATAGTTTTAAAAATGCAGTATTAGAATGTGGGGTAGAAGTTTGTGGTTATAGGAGGGTGGGGGCAGGTGGAATGAGGAGTGATTGGTGGAATGATGAAGTAAAGGGTGTGATAAAAGAGAAAAAGTCAGCTTATGAGAGGTTTTTACAAAGCAGAAGTGTTATAAGAAAAGCAGAGTATATGGAGAGTAAAAGAAAGGTGAAGAGAGTGGTGAGAGAGTGCAAAAGGAGAGCAGATGATAGAGTGGGAGAGGCACTGTCAAGAAATTTTAATCTTTACAGGAAAAGGGAATAAGAATCTTTCCTCCGTAAGCCATGCGTGTTGTAAAAGTCAACTAAAATGCCGGGAACAATGGGCTAGTAACCCCTTTTCCTGTAAAGATTACTAAAAAGAATAAGAAGAAGAAAATTGTCAAAGTGGGAAGTCTGAATGTGCGTGGATGTTGTGCAGATGATAAGAAAGAGATGATTGTGGATGTTATGAATGAGAAGAAGCTGGATGTCCTGGCTTTAAGTGAAACAAAGCTGAAGGGGGTGGGAGAGTTTCAGTGGAGAGGAATAAATGGGATTAGGTCAGGGGTTTCAAATAGAGTTAGAGCTAAAGCTAAAGAAGGAGTAGCAATAATGTTGAAGGATAAGCTATGGCAGGAAAAGAGGGACTATAAATGTATTAATTCAAGGATTATGTGGAGTAAAATAAAGATTGGATGTGAAAAGTGGGTTATAATAAGCGTGTATGCACCTGGAGAAGAGAGAAGTGTAGAGGAGAGAGAGAGATTTTGGGAAATGTTGAGTGAATGCGTGGGGAGTTTTGAATCAGTGTGAGAGTAATGGTGGTTGGGGATTTCAATGCTAAAGTGGGTAAAAATGTTATGGAAGGAGTAGTAGGTAAATTTGGGGTGCCAGGGGTAAATGTAAATGGGAAGCCTTTAATTGAGCTATGTGTAGAAAGAAATTTGGTAATAAGTAATACATATTTTATGAAAAAGAGGATAAATAAATATACAAGGTATGATGTAGCACGTAATGAAAGTAGTTTATTAGATTATGTATTGGTGGATAAAAGGTTGATGGGTAGGCTCCAGGATGTACATGTTTATAGAGGGGCAACTGATATATCGGATCATTATTTAGTTGTAGCTACAGTTAGGGAGGAGGAAGTTCGGGTGAGATATAAGCGACTATTGGCAGAAAGGTGGGCTAGTGCAAAGATGAGTAGTGAGGGGGTTGAAGAGGGTTGGAATAGTTTTAAAAATGCAGTATTAGAATGTGGGGCAGAAGTTTGTGGTTATAGGAGGGTGGGGGCAGGAGGAAAGAGGAGTGATTGGTGGAATGATGAAGTAAAGGGTGTGATAAAAGAGAAAAAGGTAGCTTATGAGAGGTTTTTACAAAGCAGAAGTGTTATAAGAAGAGCAGAGTATATGGAGAGTAAAAGAAAGGTAAAGAGAGTGGTGAGAGAGTGCAAAAGGAGAGCAGATGATAGAGTGGGAGAGGCACTGTCAAGAAATTTTAATGAAAATAAGAAAAAATTTTGGAGTTAAACAAGTTAAGAAAGCCTAGGGAAAATATGGATTTGTCAGTTAAAAATAGAGTAGGGGAGTTAGTAGATGGGGAGAGGAGGTATTAGGTAGATGGCGAGAATATTTTGAGGAACTTTAAATGTTAAGGAAGAAACAGAGGCAGTAATTTCATGCACTGGTCAGGGAGGTATACCATCTTTTAGGAGTGAAGAAGAGCAGAATGTAAGTGTGGGGAGGTACGTGAGGCATTACGTAAAATGAAAGGGGTAAAGCAGCTGGAACTGATGGGATCATGACAGAAATGTTAAAAGCAGGGGGGATATAGTGTTGGAGTGGTTGGTACTTTTGTTTAATAAATGTATGAAAGAGGGAAGGTACCTAGGGATTGGCAGAGAGCATGTATAGTCCCTTTATATAAAGGGAAAGGTGACAAAAGAGACTGTAAAAATTATAGAGGAATAAGCTTACTGAGTATACCAGGAAAAGTGTACGGTAGGGTTATAATTGAAAGAATTAGAGGTAAGACAGAATGTAGGATTGCGGATGAGCAAGGAGGTTTTAGAGTGGGTAGGGATGTGTAGATCAGTGTTTACATTGAAGCATATATGTGAACAGTATTTAGATAAAGATAGGGAAGTTTTTATTGCATTTATGGATTTAGAAAAGGCATATGATAGAGTGGAAAGAGGAGCAATGTGGCAGATGTTGCAAGTATATGGAATAGGTGGTAAGTTATTAAATGCTGTAAAGAGTTTTTATGAGGATAGTGAGGCTCAGGTTAGGGTGTGTAGAAGAGAGGGAGACTACTTCCCGGTAAAAGTAGGTCTTCGACAGGGATGTGTAATGTCACCATGGTTGTTTAATATATTTATAGATGGGGTTGTAAAGGAAGTAAATGCTAGGTGTTTGGGAGAGGGGTGGGATTAAATTATGGGGAATCAAATTCAAAAGGGGAATTGACACAGTTACTTTTTGCTGATGATACTGTGCTTATGGGAGATTCTAAAGAAAAATTGCAAAGGTTAGTGGATGAGTTTGGGAATGTGTGTAAAGGTAGAAAGTTGAAAGTGAACATAGAAAAGAGTAAGGTGATGAGGGTGTCAAATGATTTAGATAAAGAAAAATTGGATATCAAATTGGGAGGAGGAGTATGGAAGAAGTGAATGTTTTCAGATACTTGGGGAGTTGACGTGTCGGCGGATGGATTTATGAAGGATGAGGTTAATCATAGAATTGATGAGGGAAAAAAGGTGAGTGGTGCGTTGAGGTATATGTGGAGTCAAAAAACGTTATCTATGGAGGCAAAGAAGGGAATGTATGAAAGTATAGTAGTACCAACACTCTTATATGGGTGTGAAGCTTGGGTGGTAAATGCAGCAGCGAGGAGACGGTTGGAGGCAGTGGAGATGTCCTGTTTAAGGGCAATGTGTGGTGTAAATGTTATGCAGAAAATTCGGAGTGTGGAAATTGGGAGAAGGTGTGGAGTTAATAAAAGTATTAGTCAGAGGGCAGAAGAGGGTTGTTGAGGTGGTTTGGTCATTTAGAGAGAATGGATCAAAGTAGAATGACATGGAAAGCATATAAATCTATAGGGAAGGAAGGCGGGGTAGGGTCGTCCTCGAAAGGGTTGAGAGAGGGGGTAAAGGAGGTTTTGTGGGTAAGGGGCTTGGACTTCCAGCAAGCGTGCGTGAGCGTGTTAGATAGGAGTGAATGGAGACGAATGGTACTTGGGACCTGACGATCTGTTGGAGTGTGAGCAGGGTAATATTTAGTGAAGGGATTCAGGGAAACCGGTTATTTTCATATAGTCGGACTTGAGTCCTGGAAATGGGAAGTACAATGCCTGCACTTTAAAGGAGGGGTTTGGGATATTGGCAGTTTGGAGGGATATGTTGTGTATCTTTATATGTGTATGCTTCTAGACTGTTGTATTCTGAGCACCTCTGCAAAAACAGTGATAATGTGCGAGTGTGGTGAAAGTGTTGAATGATGATGAAAGTATTTTCTTTTTGGGGATTTTCTTTCTTTTTTGGGTCACCCTGCCTCGGTGAGAGATGGCCGACTTGTTGAAAAAAAAAAAAAAAAAAAAAAAAATATATATATACACCTCAGTCTATATACAATGAGATACACACAGTGTATATACACCAAGATACACACCTCTCACTGTATATACACTGAGAGGTATGTGTTTTGAGCTATATGTTGCCCTTGACATACCAGGTGTTTGTGTCGGCGACGACCGCCACAGCCTCGGCGACCTGCTGGTCGAAGGTTGAGTGGTGGGCAGCGGCACATAGGTCATGTCTGAGGGCGTCATTCCATCGACGACTCTGGGTGGTGGCATGTACCACAAACACCGATGAGTAGTGGTCCATGACACCACCCAGTAACGACTCCGCAAGGCTCCTGTTACTGGAGCAGTAGGTGCTAGTGTTCCTGCTAGAGGTGCTACTGGTGGTGCTGCTGGAAGGTGGTGTGTCTCGCAGGGGATTCTGAACCCAACATGTACACCTGAAACAACAATTCATTAGGATAATCACCCTTGGGGCAACAATAATCCATGATAACCCAAGACTCTGGATAATTATCTTGGGAAGGTTAATAACCCCAAATTAAAAGTAATTGACCAAATGATGGTGAACGTGCTTCCTTTTTTAGCCTAATCTACCCCGGTGGTCAACTGATGTTTGTGGTTTAATAACTTACCTGGGCATGTGAACATTGATTGGCGGCTCATCACCATTTGTGTCTTCTGTGATGTCCTCGGCAGTGTGTGTGTCCGGTGTCAACTCTGAATTGGAGACAGTGTCATGGCGCCAGCAAACACTATCACCATGTGTGGCACCTTCCCAAGTGCTTGGCGTAGACCGCCTATTAGGGATTTCCTGAGTACTTAGTGTAGACTCCCGTCTACTTAGGTTTTCCTGAGTTCTTGGTGTAGACTCCTGTCTATTAATGTTTTCCTGAGTACTTGGCATAGACTCCTGTCTATCACACAATCGTTCATTCTCGCTACAAGTAACACCTTCAACAACTGTTAGTGTAGTTTGTGATCTATCACACAATCTATCATTCTCACTGTAAGTAACACAGTCCATAGTTCTTGATATAGCTTCCTGTCCATTATGTAATATATTAGGTCTATCACATAGTCCATCACCACTACAAACAACCCCATCAATCATTCTTGTTGTGAGCTGCTCTCTGGCATACAAGTTGTCATTCTTGCCACCCTTAACACTGCTCGACACCTGTTCTTCTATGACAACTTTTATAGGTTCACAATTTTGAGAGTCCGTCACTTTGCAAGCAAAGACGCCATTAGTGGGGTCACTGTGGTGTCTGTGGTGCCTCATGTTTGCTAACAACCCACTAGTACCACTGTCACGATTATGGGCTAGTCTCAAGTCATCACTGCAGCTAGTCCTACGACTGTCAAGTTTTAAGTCACCACTGATGCTAGTGTCAGAACCACTGGCCAGTCTTAGATTGACACTGCCGCTAGTCCTATGACCATCGGTCAGGCTTAGATTGTGTTTTAAATCACTCTGTGGCAAACACACGGCACTCTCAAGTCTAGTCAGGTCTCTGGCAGACTGACGTCCAACATTCCGCGTTCTAACTACTTTCCTCGTGTCCTGTGGCTTCGGTAAGCAACGTACTCGAGTTGCTGCCGATGTGTCAACATTATCACACGGTTCGCTAGTACTAACCCCTAGGCCTTCAAACCCAATGGCAGAGCCAGTACAGCGACCATTCCAGAATCTGCGGGACTGACACCCTGCTTCAAGTTTTATTTGGGGTTTTTCTATTGCAGTGGGAGTGTTCGTTTCAAGTACATTGCCGTCTCCTAATAAATACAGCACTTGGCCTCCTTCCTCGATCTCTGGATGAATGTCTGTCGCAGGCACGGTAACCTCGTCCAGAGATAATCTTTCAACTATGTCTGTACCACAATGTTTTTTGCTGCCTCTCTCTTTACATTGAGAACTAGCTACAGTCTGGTTGACATGCAGTGATTCACTACAACTTTCATCACTATACACAAAACCATACCCTAAAGTATCCGACTTTCTGGTCCGTGACAAAGCTGCAACACATCTTGTAGACTGTGACTCTTCACTCTCTTTGTTATTCTCAAACTGATCAAGTTTTTCCACTCCACTTTTTTGAGGTGATAATCCGGGCTGACTTTGTTCTTGGGAACCTACGCACTTAGATGGCACTCTAAGCAGCTTGTGGACTTTATCAGCGATGATCCGAGGCTCTAGCGGCACTGGGCCAAATGTTTCCCTGTGGTCATCCAAGTCGTGCAACGGCGGATACAAACGTTCGGAATATTGTCTTGCCATATTTATTGCATTATCACTAAAGTTTGAAACACCCGGGCTGGACTCACTGCCATCACACGCCAGAGATGCCAGGTTTGTTGATGTTTTACATGACGATAAACTTTTTCCCAACTCAGGCAACGGAGCCACAATGGTCACTCTCTCTGCCTCCAAAAGCTCTTTGTTCCTTGGCTCTAAACGAGACGGACTTCCACGACTTGTACCGTGTGATAAGTCTGAATACTTAACATCGTGAATTACTATCTCCTCACCATCATTTAGCATCCACTTAGATGCCTGGTCGCTCTCTCTCTTGAGAGGCTGATGGCCTGGCACTGAAGGATCAGCGTCGCACGCAGAACCGCGTTGGGCATCAACAGCACTATAGCCACCAGACCTTAGGGCAACCTCGGAGATACTGTCTCCCCGACCCTCGGTGGACAGGTATCTGCCACTGCGACCTTCTCGACTGTTCCTCCAGCTCCGCCGTAGGCTGGACTCTCTCTTCAACTGCTGAGTGTGAGCATCTCTGGTGCCACAATCCTTCTGAGAGTCCTTCCTGTTGCCCTCCACCATACTGATGATGGACGACACAGAAGATGTACACGAGGGACACGACTGATGCTCAGCTGTCATGGTGTCACCCAGCTGGTGGCGACCGACTTCAGCCTCAACCACCTAAACATAAACAAGATTTAAAATTCAATCCACACCATACAATGCATTTATACAAATCACAATGGCAGGGACCACGGTTTGACTTCCCAATCATTCCTTTAGTCTTCGTACAATATGCCTTGGCAACAGTACAATAGAAAACACTGTTTTACAATATATAATAGATTTTGACTTGCAAACTTACAACAGAGGTACAGTTTACACATTTCCCAGCAAGTGATGAGGGATGGTACATTTTTCACCAAAGCAGAAAGTTCAAGGAATTTAATTTGTGGGAATTTAAATTTTATCACACAAGATTATATTTTTGAAAAATTGAAAAAATCTGAGAACTTTATATGGCTCACTTGGAGATTAGCGCAATACTGTTGCTATACAACTGGTGTATGGTACTGCCAGGAAGGTACAGTACCTGGGAGCAGCGTATGATGTAAGAGAGTATGGTGAGGAGCTGTGCTAGCAGTGTAGTGTCGGTGCCCACCAGGATGGTACGTGCCGCCCGTGGTGGGTAACCCACAGCGCCACTCAACTCGCACAGTTGTGCCCACACGGCGTTGTATGGACGACACTCGTTCAGCCTCTCAACCTTAATAATAATTACAGTAATAAGAACATAAGAAAGAAGGAACACTGCAACAGGCCTACTGACCCATGTGGAGCAGGTCCATGTCCCCCCCCCCCCCCCGGATTAGCCCAATGACCCACCTCCCTGGATTAGACCAATGACCCACCCAGTCTGGCCACTTCCACTCAAGGATGGAGCACAGCACCAGACCCAGCAGCACAAGCTAGTCAGGTCCAACTCACACCCACCCACACCCACTCATGTATTTATCTAACCTATTTTTAAAACTACACAATGTTTTAACCTGAATAACTGTACTCGGGAGTTTGTTCCACTCATCCACAACTCTATTACCAAACCAGTGCCTTCCTATATCCTTCCTGAATCTGAATTTTTCCAACTTGAAACCACTGCTGCGAGTCCTGTCTTGGCTGGAAATTTTCATCACGTATTTATATCCCCTTTATTTATTCCTGTTTTCCATTTATACACCTCGATCATATCCCCCTAATTCTACGCCTTTCGAGAGAGTGCAGATTCAGGGCCCTCAGTCTATCCTCATAGGGAAGATTTCTGATACATAGGATCATCTTTGTCATCCTCCAAAATACATTTCATTAGTATTATTACTGCTAGGATGGCAGCATGTAGAAATCATAATCCAGTGTTTTATTGTGTCCAAGGCAAGTGTTGTGAGGAACATGATGGAGTCAGCAAGACACCAGCATTATGGGTGGTCCCTATTACATGTCATAGCTTGACTCTCTGTTTCCACACTCATCCTAATTGGCTGAAGCATCGGAGGGGGCATGACTTTCTTACCTGTCACAGTCGAGGGTCATGACTTACCTAGTGCTTGTAACCTGGTACTCTGTGGGTGATATAAAAAAAAAAAAAAAAAAAAACTGCCTACCTTCCATATAAAGCTAGTCTCTATATACAGTCAGCTTTTACAAAGTTTAGTGTACAATAAGCTGTACAAGTGTATATAGCACACTTGTACAGCTAATAAGGTGTACAAGTATACATTATTTAGTCTGTACGTGAAGGTTACAACTGCATTTACAGCGATGACTTGCTTTAACTGTCATTGGGGCACTCCAGGCAAGACTGAATGAATGATGGGCGATGGGCTTCCTCTGTTTAGGGTCGACTGACATTGGTGGTAAACAACCATATATGACTGACTGCTTACCCAAGATGGTCGAGTGGTGGCAGTTGTGGCAGCATTGAGGCGAGGTGGGTGTGTGGGGAGTGCAGTAGTGCCAGGATGGGGCAGCCCTGGTGCTGACACAGGTGCTGTCGCTGGTGTGGAGTGTGTCATGGTAGGTGTCATCGATGTGGCATGGTCGCCCGGAGTAACGGTCGACACCCAGCCAAGATGATGTGTCAACACAGCCGTCAACAACTTACTCACGAAACTGAAAAATTATTATTATTATTAATGAAGGGAGCAAGGGGCTAGTAACTCCTTCTCCTGTATAAATATAACAAGAGGAAACTTGCATTTCTTGCTTCCAACAGTCTCAGTGGGAGACGGCTCATGTTGAAAAATAAATTATTATATGTAGCTTTGAGGACATATATGACAGGTTACATGTAGCCAGGAGTAAACCTGGTAGCTGCAGGTGGAGAGATTGGGTCAGGAGCTGAGCCCTGACCTCTGCAACCACATGTACAATGACAGGGTTACATGACTGACTTTGTGGATTCCTCTTAAGTGCAAGATCTGGCTTGCTTCGAGTGTGGCTTGTCTGGGTGTGGCTTGTCTAGGGGTGGCTTGTCTAGGGGTGGCTTATCTAAGGATGGCTTGTCATGGGTGGTTTGTCTGGGGGTGGCTTGTAAACTAACCTCGAAATTAAACACATTCTCATCACTTCCCCTTGACAGAACTTACAAGTTGGTCTGCTTGGTGTCAAACTTGTCAAGAAGGGAAGCCAGGGTGTCGACCAGCATGGTACACAGTGCTTGGCGCTCAGTGGGTGGCGGCTGGCCCAGCAGGCCCAGCCATATGGGACGGCACAGTCGCGGTCCGCTGACCAGGTCCACAATATCCTGGGGAGGGGGGGGGGAGGGTTAAGTCAGAATTGTTGCAATTTCCACTCAAGTTGAACAAATATTTTGAACTTGGTGAAAGGATATACAGTAGCTCTATTATAAAGATTTTTATACATTCAACTCTTTATAAAGCCCTATATAGCATCACCTTTATTATATAGCCACTAACCAGCAGTGAGGGAAGCACATACTAACCTGTTGGAGCTGCAAGACCGCCTGGTGGACGGTGTAAACAAAGGAGTGACGGTGAAGGTACGCTGCCTGCAACATGGTCTGCAGCTTGCTGATCAACCCTTCGATGACACTCACATGCAGGAAGATCCACTCCTCCGAAGACCTGTAACAACCACAACTTACAACTTTCTACAATGATGGCCTTCCACTTTACAAAAACAACAATAATACCTAGGTAGTAGGTTGGTAGACAGTAACTGCCCGGGGAGGTACGTACTACCATCCTGCCAAATGAGTGTAAAACGGAAGCCCGTAATTGTTTTACATGGTAGGATTGCTGGTGTCTTTTTTTTGTCTCGTACACATGCAACTTGTAGCGGCAGCGGCATCCTAGCACCGCTATTTTCTTAAACAACCAGGGCCCATCAAAGGTTCTGATAGCCTCATTGCAGGTACAACTGCACAAACCCATGTAGAACCTAAAATGAGCCAAGAATACTAACACTGCTACCCATAACCTGTTAAAATTGATGATCTAATGAAGACAGCCCTGTAAACCCAAGCTCTGCCCTACTGTCAGACGAACACCTAACCGAAGCTCTGAAATAAAATTCTCTCCTTCATCATTTCACCAATAACTACCTCAGTGATAATATGAGAGGAAATCACAGAATAAACAATAACAGTAATAGCAAGAAAACACTGAGAAATCTACAATTCAACTTGTGTACCCAGCAGGACACTGGTGTACCATCCACCCCCCTCACCACCACCCAGGGCTACACAATAACACCAAACATGGCTGATTCCCTCTCCAACTCCCCTTCCTTCAGGAGATTCAGCACTCCAGTTGATACCCTTAAGTCATACATCATTGCCCTAACAACTCATAATACGAATCTTCAGTCAACACTAGCGCAACATGAGGCCAGGATAACCAAATTCGAGAGCAAGATCCTCAACCTCGAAGAGAAGACTACAACATCTAGAAGTAATGATTTCGGCAATTCTCTACAAGCAGCTATAGCCAGTCATACTGAACAAATAGCATCTGTGAACACAGGTGGAAAAAAATCAACGTGAATGCCCGTTCGAATGACTACCTTGATTACCATGATGACAAAACTGAACAAGAAAAGTTATCTGACGCAGTCATAATTAAGAGCTCTCCCTTTACCAGTGAAATAAACCAAACTAACTGCAAAGATACCTCTATTAAGATCATAAAAGACCAGCTAAAAGTTAATGTACTAGCTAACAAAATTAAAGAGGCAGGTTTACTAGGAAAATAAGGTAGTAAACACTGTGTTATGATCAGATTTCATTCATATGACATGAAAAAGGATCTAATTAAATCATCAATTAGATTAAAAAATGAAGTGTACATCAATGAGTGCCTGATGAGAAAACATCAGAACCTCTTGTTCAGATTGAGAAAACTGTAACGGGAGAACAATGACAAAATCCACAAGCGCATCACTCGAGATGGGAAAATTCTAGAGAGAAAAACAGATGTAGGCCGTTTATACACTATCACAAATGAGCACGATCTATCCAACTTCCTTAGAGATGCAGATCTTACCCAGACTGATTTACCAATTCATCCTTAACATTATCATCTACGCGTATAAATGGAGTATACCTGGAGAGAGTTTCGGGGGGGTCAACATCCCCGCGGCCCGATCTGTGACCAGGCCTCATGGTTAATCAGGGCCTGATCAACCAGGCTGTTACTGTTGGTCTCGCACAACCCAACACACGAACCACAGCCCAGATGGTGAGCTACTGACTTTAGGTGCCTGTCCAGTGCCTTCTTGAAGACAGCTAGGGGTCTATTATGTATGCTGGGAGGTAGTTGAACAGTCTTGGGCCCTGACACTTACTGTGTTCTCTTACAGTGCTAGTGGCACCCCTGCTTTTCATTGGGGGATGCTGCATCATCTGCCGAGTCTTTTGCTTTCACAGGGAGTGATTTTCGTGTGCAAATTTGGTACTAATCCCTCTAGGATTTTCCACTAGAAGACAAAAAGAATGCAGATGTAATATATACAGACTTTGCAAAAGCCTTCGACAAGTGTGACCATGGCGTAATAGCGCACAAAATGCGTGCTAAAGGAATAACAGGAAAAGTCGGTCGATGGATCTATAATTTCCTCACTAACAGAACACAGAGAGTAGTCGTCAACAGAGTAAAGTCCGAGGCAGCTACGGTGAAAAGCTCTGTTCCACAAGGCACAGTACTCGCTCCCATCTTGTTCCTCATCCTCATATCCCACATAGACAAGGATGTCAGCCACAGCACCGTGTCTTCCTTTGCAGATGACACCCGAATCTGCATGACAGTGTCTTCCATTGCAGACACTGCAAGGCTCCAGGCGGACATCAACCAAATCTTTCAGTGGGCTGCAGAAAACAATATGAAGTTCAATGATGAGAAATTTCAATTACTCAGATATGGTAAACATGAGGAAATTAAATCTTCATCAGAGTACAAAACAAATTCTGGCCACAAAATAGAGCGAAACACCAACGTCAAAGACCTGGGAGTGATTATGTCGGAGGATCTCACCTTCAAGGACCATAACATTGTATCAATCGCATCTGCTAGAAAAATGACAGGATGGATAATGAGAACCTTCAAAACTAGGGAGGCCAAGCCCATGATGACACTCTTCAGGTCACTTGTTCTATCTAGGCTGGAATATTGCTGCACACTAACAGCACCTTTCGAGGGAGGTGAAATTGCTGACCTAGAAAATGTACAGAGAACCTTCACGGCACGCATAACGGAGATAAAACACCTCAATTACTGGGAGCGCTTGAAGTTCCTCAACCTGTACTCCCTAGAATGCAGGCGGGAGAGATACATGATTTACCTGGAGTTTACCTGGAGAGAGTTCCGGGGGTCAACGCCCCCGCGGCCCGGTCTGTGACCAGGCCTCCTGGTGGATCAGCGCCTGATCAACCAGGCTGTTGCTGCTGGCTGCACGCAAACCAACGTACGAGCCACAGCCCGGCTGATCAGGAACTGACTTTAGGTGCTTGTCCAGTGCCAGCTTGAAGACTGCCAGGGGTCTGTTGGTAATCCCCCTTATGTGTGCTGGGAGGCAGTTGAACAGTCTCGGGCCCCTGACACTTATTGTATGGTCTCTTAACGTGCTAGTGACACCCCTGCTTTTCATTGGGGGGATGGTGCATCGTCTGCCAAGTCTTTTGCTTTCGTAGCGAGTGATTTTCGTGTGCAAGTTCGGTACTAGTCCCTCTAGGATTTTCCAGGTGTATATAATCATGTATCTCTCCCTCCTGCATTCCAGGGAATACAGGTTTAGGAACCTCAAGCGCTCCCAGTAATTGAGGTGTTTTATCTCCATTATGCGCGCCGTGAAAGTTCTCTGTACATTTTCTAGGTCGGCAATTTCGCCTGCCTCGAAAGGTGCTGTTAGTGTGCAGCAATATTCCAGCCTAGATAGAACAAGTGACCTGAAGAGTGTCATCATGTGTCTGATATCCCTAGTTTTGAAGGTTCTCATTATCTATCTTGTCATTTTTCTAGCAGATGCGATTGATACAATGTCATGATCTTTGAAGGCGAGATTCTCTGATATGATCACTCTCGGGTCTGTTACATTAGTTTTTCGCTCTATTGTGTGGTTGGAATTTGTCTTAATTTCCTCACAATTTTCCATATCGGAGTAATTGAAATTTCTCATCATTGAACTTCATATTGTTTTCTGCAGCCCACTGAAAGATTTGGCTGATGTCCGCCTGGAGTCTTGTGGTGTCTTCAATGGAGGACACTGTCATGCAAATTCAGGTGTCACCTGCAAAGGAAGACACGGTGCTGTGGCTTGCATCCCTGTCTATGTCAGATATGAGTTTGAGGATCAGGATGGGAGTGAATACTGTGCCTTGTGGAATAGAGCTTTTCACTGTAGCCGCCTCAGACTTTACTGTTTACTACTACTCTGTTTTTTATTTGTTAGGAAATTATAGATCCATCTACTAACTTTTCCTGTTATTCCTTTATCATGCATTTTGTGTGCTATTACACAATGGTCACAATTGTCAAAGGCTTTTGCAAAGTCTGTGTATACTACATATGTGTTTTGTTTGTGTTCTAGATTTGCTGTTGTGGATCCTCAGGTACAAATAGCATAGGTCAGGTAGGGATAGATTAGAGTGTAGTATAATGTAAGTAGTACTGACTGAGGTACATAATAATGTATCTTACAGAGGATACTAACTGTTTTGGACACTTTTTGTAATGTGTTGGATGTGGGTGTTGAAGATGTAATCAAGGAACAGGTCCAGAAATTTTCCTTTGCTTTGTTTAGCAATGGGAGAACTGTTAATCAAAACATTTGGACATTTGTAACACTGTTGCTAATGTTATGCAGAAAATGCGATTCCCTAAGGCCTAAGGGCCTTGTCTATGGGCAAAGGTAAAAGTTACACAAATCTCATGTAACACTAGGCCACCCAGGGCTATCCCAGTCAAAACAGAGTGCTAAACCAGCATGTATTACATCTATTAGAGAGATCAGGCAAAATTCCTAGGTAGGAAAATATACATTTATTATTATTAACCATATATACACACACTAGAAAAACACTCCCACATTTATCTTGGCCTTCTCATGGCCTAAACACCCACATAAGGGTACATAAGGAGCCGGCGGCTGGCGAGTTAACGCAAAACAAAGACACACTTGTACCTATAAGGCTTGGTGCCTGGCAGACGCTGTCCTCTACTCTCCTCCCGAGACCATCTCATCCTATTTCATCAGTCCTCACTCATCCCACAGAGACCTGACCATATCAGAACCCAGGTGAGCGTGCTGGTACACCACAAAAGAGCATACGGCTTGAGATTGGATAACCAAAAGAAGTACAAAAACTACAAAACTTAGCTTCAGTACACAGCGTCTCAGATGCCAGCCTTCCCTCCATGCTGCCTCCACGTGACTCCCCCGAGCCACACCACCCACACTAACCAAACACAATTGGAAAATAAGTCCCTGGCAGGATTTCCTTACATTTACAGTTTAAAGTACTTTACAGTACCCCCAAATGCACAGTATGAATTATAAAATTAAGTTTTACAATTATAACATCATTCATACTACAGTGGACCCCCGCATAGCGACCTTAATCCGTGCAAGAGGGCTGGCTGTTATGCGAAATGTTCGCTATGTGAATGAATTTTCCCCATAAGAAATAATGGAAATCAAATTAATCCGTGCAAGACACCCAAAAGTTTGAAAAAAAAAATTTTACCACATGAAATATACATTTTCCTACACACAAAGAGAAGGATACATGCACAATAGTAGAGTAGTACATGCACAGTATATATTGTGCATGTACTACTCTACTAAATGAAGAATAAATGACACTTACCTTTATTGAAGATGCAGCAATGACTGATGAGACACTGTGTCCTGGGAGTGCCTTTTCCTCCTGAGTACTGTAGGTCCTGTTTGGTATTTTCTTCCAGAACAGGCCTTATCACACTGTGTATGTCACTACGATTCTTAAATCTCTCAAAACCAACCTTTGCTGGCTCTAAATTCACCAATATGAGCACTAGTTCCAGGCATTTTCCCTGTTCACCTGGGTGTTAGTCGACTGGTGTGGGTTGCATCCTGGGAGACAAGATTAAGGACCCCAATGGAAATAAGTTAGACAGTCTTCGATGACACTGACTTTTTTGGGCTATCCTGGGTGGCAAATCCTCTGGGGTTAATTGTTTCTTGGTATTCTCAATAAGCCACACCAACAACGGTGCTACAGCAGCAGCAGCAGCAGCTGACGATGTTACAGCAGCAGCAGACGATGCTACAGCAGCAGCAGCAGCAGACGATGCTACAGCAGCAACAGACGATGCTACAGCAGCAGCAGACGATGCTACAGCAGCAACTGACGATGTTACAGCAGCAGCAGACGATGCTACAGCAGCAGCAGCAGCAGACGATGCTACAGCAGCAGCAGCAGCTGACGGTGGTACAGCAGCAACAGACGATGCTACAGCAGCAACAGACGATGCTACAGCAGCAGCAGACGATGCTACAGCAGCAGCAGATGATGCTACAGCAGCAGCAGACGGTACTACAGCAGCAGGAGCAGCTGACGGTGGTACAGCAGCAGCAGCTGACAGTGCAGCAGAGCTGACGGTGATACGCAGCAGCAGCAGCTGTACCACCAATAGTAGCGATGGTTGATTGGGGTTTATTATACAAACCTGGCCAGCTCGGAGACACGCACTCCACTTTCATACTTATCAATGATCTTTTTCTTCATCTCCATAGTAATTCTCACCCTTATTGCTGTAGGGTTGGCACTAGAAGCTTTCTTGGGGCCCATGGTCACTTATTTTCCAGAAAAAAATCACCAAAAACACTGTAATAATACAAAATGTTCCGATTGTATGCTTGGATGTTACCGCGGAGGCTGGCTGGTAAACAATGCCACCCGCGGAACATGTGAGCGTGGCTCAGGCCGCACATTGGACGCGTCTCGGACGAAGGCCGCTGAGCGGGTTTTTGGGCGCTATGCGGGGCAAAATTTTAGCGATCAAAGCGTCCGCTATGCGGATTGTCCGCTATGCAAGGCGTCCGTTATGCGGGGGTCCACTGTATTATGGCACACTTTCTTCACTACATATACAGTGCAACCCCGAGTTTTGAACTTATTTCATTCCAGTATACTGTTCGAGTGCCAATACCGAACGAATTTGTTCCCATAAGGAATGATGTAAATTAGATCAGTCCGTTTCAGATCCCAAAAATACACTTACAAAAGCACTTACACAAATACACTTACATAATTTTTCAAGTTGGAAGCATTTGAAACTCAGGGTACCACTGTAGTATATTACAATGCAATGCAGAATCCTGCAAAACACTAAGCATCACGTAGGTCTTGTCAGCGTTAAGTGAGTTTATTGGTAGTCATCCAGGTTGATGTTTTTAAGAGTTCTTCATTAACAATGGTGTTGAGGGAATCTACATTTGGGTGGAAGATGACAAAAGTTGTCTTGTCGGCAAAGATAACAGTTCTAAGTTGCTGTGATATATCTGGAAGATCACTGATGTATAAAAGGAAAAGCAGAGGGCCAAGGACACTTTCCTGTGGGATGCCTATGTTAACAAGTCTTCTTGAAGAGGTTGTGCCTCTGACAGAGACATATTGGTGTCTGTTGCTCAAGTCTGAGATGTGGGATGCCATGGTCAACTTTAGTGAAAGCTTTCCTAAGGTCAATACAGACGTCTAGTGGATATTCATTAAGGGAAATCTATCATTTGTATGACTGCATCTGGTATGAAACCAAACTGGCAGGGGTTGAGTTTACTGTGTGAATCTAGAAAAGAATCTAGTCTCTTATGGATTAATTTTTTCAAAAATTTTGGATAACAATGGTAAGTTAGATTTTTTTTTATCACCACACTGGCCAATTCCCACCAAGGCAGGGTGGCCCGAAAAAGAAAAACTTTCACCATCATTCACTCCATCACTGTCTTGCCAGAAGGGTGCTTTACACTACAGTTTTTAAACTGCAACATTAACACCCCTCCTTCAGAGTGCAGGCACTGTACTTCCCATCTCCAGGACTCAAGTCCGGCCTGCCGGTTTCCCTGAACCCCTTCATAAATGTTACTTTGCTCACACTCCAACAGCACGTCAAGTATTAAAAACCATTTGTCTCCATTCACTCCTATCAAACACCCTCATGCATACCTGCTGGAAGTCCAAGCCCCTTGCACACAAAACCTCCTTTACCCCCTCTCTCCAACCTTTCCTAGGCCGACCCCTACCCCGCCTTCCTTCCACTACAGACTGATACACTCTTGAAGTCATTCTGTTTCGCTCCATTCTCTCTACATGTCCGAACCACCTCAACAACCCTTCCTCAGCCCTCTGGACAACAGTTTTGGTAATCCCGCACCTCCTCCTAACTTCGGTCTATAATTATTTACATCAGTTGGGGTCTCCACCTTTGATACTGGAGTAACTCTTACTGTCATGAGTTATGCTGGAAAAGTGTTGGTCTCTAGTGTTTTGATGAACAATACTGTAATCTAATGAGTTGCCTTTTTTGAACAATAGTGGTGGAACCTGTGCTAAGCTTCCTTACTTGTTTTTTCAGCGAGTTTATAATTAGTATGAACTCAGTGGGATTAGATGGTGTAAAATAGAGGGATGTTGGGAAATTTCCACCTGAGTAATCACTCGCTGGAATATTAGTGGTTATTTTTGTTAGCTAAACTTGATCCTATGGTAGAAAAACAAATCATTTAACTTACTGGCTGTTTCTACAGGCTGGAGCTGTGGTTCATTGGGTTTAGTTAGAACAATGTATCTGGTTTTGGCCAACCTTTGAGAACCCAGGATTTGAGTATGCATATTCTGGGTCTTTTTTTTTATATCACTGCTTATTAAATAGAACCCGCTAGAGTAAGACAGCTGTCTGAACTTCCTGATTAGTTTGCTAAGTGCAGTTGTATAGTTTTTTGTTAGTTCTTTAGTTATTAAAACATGTTTATATTGTTTTCGGTATCTATTTTTCTTGACTATGTACATGGGGATGCAAATGTTAGCCATGGCTACCTAGCCTCTTTGTTTCGTCTTTTAGTTTTAATGAACTTAAGTTGATATAAAAACAACGAATTTTTTACAGGAAAATTTTCAACTCGCTTGTTACACACTGCCATCGTAAATTTCTGTTTGGTTTCAAACTAACTAAGTGCTGTAGTGCAGGTTTTAGGGTGCAGGTGAGAATATCATCTCGTGGTGACTACTATGGCATGTGAACTGTGTACTGTGTCATGACACTAACTTTAAAAAGGCTGATGTACTGACAGTATTTAAGGTGATGACCTATGTGGAGCTTGATGGTACGACTGTATATAAAGGAACTGATGACTTAATGTATATAATGGAGCTTGATAGTACTGACTGCATATAAAGGAACTTGATGGTACTGACTGTATGTAAAGGAGCTTGATGACACTAACTGTATATAAAGGAACTTGATAGTACTGACTGTATATAAAGGAGCTTGATGACACTAACTGTATATAAAGGAACTTGATAGTACTGACTGTATATAAAGGAACTTGATGGTACTGACTGTATGTAAAGGAGCTTGATGGTACTGACCTGTATATAAAGGACTTGATGGTACTGACTGTATATAAAGGAACTTGATGGTACTGACTGTATATAAAGGAACTTGATGGTACTGACTGTATATAAAGGAACTTGATGGTACTGACTGTATATAAAGGAACTTGATGGTACTGACCGTATATAAAGGAACTTGATGGTACTGACCGTATATAAAGGAACTTGATGGTACTGACCGTATATAAAGGAACTTGATGGTACTGACTGTATATAAAGGAACTTGATGGTACTGACTGTATATAAAGGAACTTGATGGTACTGACTGTATATAAAGGAACTTGATGGTACTGACTGTATATAAAGGAACTTGATGGTACTGACTGTATATAAAGGAACTTGATGGTACTGACTGTATATAAAGGAACTTGATGGTACTGACTGTATATAAAGGAACTTGATGGTACTGACTGTATATAAAGGAACTTGATGGTACTGACTGTATATAAAGGAACTTGATGGTACTGACTGTATATAAAGGAACTTGATGGTACTGACTGTATATAAAGGAACTTGATGGTACTGACTGTATATAAAGGAACTTGATGGTACTGACTGTATATAAAGGAACTTGATGGTACTGACTGTATATAAAGGAACTTGATGGTACTGACTGTATATAAAGGAACTTGATGGTACTGACTGTATATAAAGGAACTTGATGGTACTGACTGTATATAAAGGAACTTGATGGTACTGACTGTATATAAAGGAGCTTGATGACACTAACTGTATACATGACAGTCATCTCACCTGTCTATCTCAGAAGCAGTGTTGCCAATTTGTATAGTGACAGCAACGCCCAGTTTGGTGGGGCGGCGACAGAGGTGGCTGAGCGGGCCAGCGCTGCCCGCTGCTGTCCCAGCCTCCTGCACCTCGCCCTCTCGACCCAGCGCCTCCAGCGAGGTGCTCACCGTGTGCAGGAAGCGTCGCTGCAGGCTACTCAAGCTGCCAGAGTGTTTGAGACTGCTCCCTGAACCTACAAGTAATATATATGACTGTCAGTAGCTGCCTAAGATTGTAATAATATTGTCAGTAGCTGCTGAAACTGTAAGAGTACTGTTAGTAGCTGCCTGAAACTGTAATAGTACTGTCAGTAGCTGCCTGAAACTGTAATAGTACGGTCAGTAGCTGCCTGAGACTGTAATAGTATTGTCAGTAGCTGTCTGAGACTGTAATAGTACTGTCAGTAGCTGCCTGAGACTGTAATAGTACTGTCAGTAGCTGCCTGAACTGTAATAGTACGGTCAGTAGCTGCCTGAGACTGTAATAGTACTGTCAGTAGCTGCCTGAGACTGTAATAGTACTGTCAGTAGCTGCCTGAGACTGTAATAGTACTGTCAGTAGCTGCCTGTAAAGGTGCTGAGACTGTAATAGTACTGTCAGTAGCTGCCTGAGACTGTAATAGTACTGTCAGTAGCTGCCTGAGACTTAATAGTACTGTCAGTAGCTGCCCCGAGACTGTAATAGTACTGTCAATAGCTGCCTGAGACTGTAATAGTACTGTCAGTAGCTGCCTGAGACTATAATAGTACTGTCAGTAGTTGCCTGAGACTGTAATAGTACTGTCAGTAGCTGCCTGAGACTGTAATAGTACTGTCAGTAGCTGCCTGAGACTGTAATAGTACTGTCAGTAGCTGCCTGAGACTGTAATAGTACTGTCAGTAGCTGCCTGAGACTGTAATAGTACTGTCAGCAGCTGCCTGAGACTGTAATAGTACTGTCAGCAGCTGCCCGAGACTGTAATACTACTGTCAATTGCTGCCTGAGACTGTAATAGTACTGTCAGTAGCTGCCTGAGACTGTAATAGTACTGTCAGTAGCTGCCTGAGACTGTAATAGTACTGTCAGTAGCTGCCTGAGACTGTAATAGTACTGTCAGTAGCTGCCTGAGACTGTAATAGTACTGTCAGTAGCTGCCTGAGACTGTAATAGTACTGTCAGTAGCTGCCCGAGACTGTATAGTACTGTCAGTAGCTGCCTGAGACTGTAATAGTACGTCAGTAGCTGCCTGAGACTGTAATAGTACTGTCAGCAGCTGCCTGAGACTGTAATAGTACTGTCAGTAGTTGCCTGAGACTGTAATAGTACTGTCAGTAGCTGCTGAGACTGTAAATTGTACTGTCAGTAGCTGCCTGAGACTGTAATAGTACTGTCAAGCTGCCTGAGACTGTAATAGTACTGTCAGTAGCTGCCTGAGACTGTAATAGTACTGTCAGTAGCTGCCTGAGACTGTAATAGTACTGTCAGTAGCTGCCTGAGACTGTAATAGTACTGTCAGTAGCTGCCTGAGACTGTAATAGTACTGTCAGCAGCTGCCTGAGACTGTAATAGTACTGTCAGTAGTTGCCTGAGACTGTAATAGTACTGTCAGTAGCTGTCTGAGACTGTAATAGTACTGTCAGTAGCTGCCTGAGACTGTAATAGTACTGTCAGTAGCTGCCTGAGACTGTAATAGTACTGTCAGTAGCTGCCTGAGACTGTAATAGTACTGTCAGTAGCTGCCTGAGACTGTAATAGTACTGTCAGTAGCTGCCTGAGACTGTAATAGTACTGTCAGTAGCTGCCTGAGACTGTAATAGTACTGTCAGTAGCTGCCTGAGACTGTAATAGTACTGTCAGCAGCTGCTGAGACTGTAATAGTACTGTCAGTACTGCCTAGACTGTAATAGTATGTCAGACTGCTGAACTGTAATAGTATGTCATTACTCTTGAATGAAGTATTCTACAAGAATATAAATGAGAATTCTAACACAAATATACCTGAAATCTTGATTAAAAACAAAAAATTCTCCATAAATCTGAATTAAGGAAAATCTTTGACTACCTTGAATTAAATCACTAAAATCTACCTTAAATGTGTATTAACAAAACAGGCGGATGGGCGACACTGTACCTTGCTTGGAGGAAGGCGTGCCCATGGGAGTATTGGGCATGGAGGGTGGCAAGAGGAATGACCCGCAGCCAGACGAGCAGTCGAGGGCAGGGCCACCATACCCAAGTCCCCCCCGCGTGGAGTGCTGATGGGCAGTCGGCGGGCGGGTGCCCACTCGCCACTGCTGCCACCACCCACCACCGCCGCTGCCCATGGCACCTCCAGGCCCTCAGGGTGGCAGGCAACATCGCTCCACGAGCTGAGAGAACTACCCAGTGATGAGTCCTCTATACCCTGATACACTGTACATAGAGAGCTTTATAGTTAGTAACTGCTTATAAGAGTGAGCTTTATACTCATATATGACCCGTATAAGAGCGAACATTATAAGGGAAATAAGTACAGTATACATAAAGGAGCATTATAAAGGAACCGACTGTATATAGTGGAGTTTTATAACAGAAATGAGCGTACACAGAACAGGTCCGCCATCACAAATCCTGTATCATTGGGACCTGTAGTGTGCTGGATTACTGAGTTTGCCGGATTACAGAGTGGTTATGTTAAAATACAATTAGAATACAAATTAACCAACTTGACTTACACAAAGTTCATTGAACATCGGCAAAAATTGAACATTTCCGCTACTTTGATCTCGATTAGGTACTTTTTGTCGTGAAACCAATCGAAATCATATCAATTTCTGTAAAAAATCTTCCATTCAATCAAATGAAATAAAAAAAAATGAGAATACAACAATAAAAACCATACAAAAATATACCGCTATGGGCCGCTAATGGCTGAGAAGCGAACTGCCCTATTTATCGTCCTGTTTTTTTTTTTATTTTTGGTGTACTTTAAGAAGCATCTTTCCATCATACATTGCCCAAGCTTCAATAAGATAGCCCAACAAACAACTGAGAGAAAAAAATATTTACGAAAAATCGTATATGGCAAGCCCAAGCCAGGTACTGGAAATAAGTCACTGACTTTTTTTGGGGTTATCCCAGGTTCTCTATACATATGCTGCTATGTATGATAATCTATGTAACTGTATTTGTGTATACCTGAATAAAAATACTTACTTCCATTCTGTTGCCGAGTACAAGAAACTGCCCATTCACATATTTCAACTACCCAATAAAGTGATCAGAAATTGGTAATTTGGCCAATTTCACACAAATTTCAACAGATGCCAATTTCAAAATAGGGTCCAGAATAAACAATGCAGACATTCCTGGCACTAAAATAACATTTTCTCTGTTCATTAGTCACGGCTACAGGCCCCTCTTATATTACTCTTGCTTACCATTTGGAATTTTTATTCACACAAAAAATAGAAGATTTACTGTTATGCAGACTGCTGCATTATTGGAATAATTGTATAAATAATATCAACCCATTCTTGACAGCATATTGGAATTTGGACTGGCAGGCACACACGTATCAGACGTATTTGTTTACTCTTGAACATCACTAAAGAATAGAACATTTCCGCTACATTGACCTCATTTTCAATTTACTTTTCGTCATGAAAGCAATCAAAATTATATCTATTTCTGTAATATATCTTCCATTCTATCAAATGAGACCCAAAAAACAAGAATATAACCATAAAAACCATAGGAAAATATACCGCTATGGGGCTGCTAATGGCTGACAAATGAACTCCGTTATTTATTGTCTGATTTCTTTCATTTTTGGTGTACGTTAAGAAGCATCTTTCCCTCATACATTGCCCAAGTTTCATTAAGATAGTCCAACAAACAACTGAGAGAAAAAATAATTATAATAATAATAATAATAATAATAATAATAATTTATTTACTACAAGTACATGTACAAGGTATACAGGCGTAGCTGACATCAGTGACATACTACTATATAGAAAGCCCTTTGTTATGCTAAGCATTTCAGGCAAATTAGGTCAGTGTCCCAGGATAAGACCCACACCAGTCCATTAACACCCAGGTACCCATTTACTAATGGGTGAACATAGACAACAGGTGTAAAGAAGCACGCCCAATGTTTCTACCCTGGCTGGGAATCGAATATTTACCAAAAATCATATATGGCTAGCCCAAGCCAGGTACTAGAAATAAGCCACTTTGACTTTTTTTGGGTTATCCTAGGTTCTCTACACATATGCTGCTATGTGTGATAATCTATGTAGAGAAAATATTATTATAATCAAAAGAAGCGCTAAACCGCAAGGGTTATACAGCATATGTAGAGAAAATAGCTTTTTTGTTTTATGGTGCAGTATGAGTGTATATCACAGTTAGTCCTGTGCTACACTCTGTTTTCTCTAATATAAGCCCCCAAGAGAGGGATAGATGAATGGTACTTGTATCCCATATCCTCTTCATACCTCCGTTGAATTGCTTTTCATTATGCCAAATATTATTCATTCTGGAGTACGTATTTAACAAATTTTTATGTTATTTATATTGTTTATTATGTCACTGATCAATTGTGATAGGCAAATAAGCTGTAGTGTTGATATTAGCGTAATAATAAAGCATATTCCCCTGCATCGCGAGACTGAGCTCATGGCAACCGACAGTGGCTTCAAAGCCACGTTTTCTTTTATGGATAATGTACTGTGTAGGTGCTTTACACAACGAGAAGCATTTCTTTTATTCGTTGGAACCATGGCTAGGACTAAAAGCAGGTAGGTTATAACAATAAATGGAAAAAAAGAAATTGGAATGACTTATGTAGCAAGTAGTGCCACCAAACAGTACCAGCAGGTTGGTGTGGCGACCCTGGAAATTTGAAATTATGCTAGCCAAAATTAGTGCCAAATAACTGATGGAACCAGGTGTCTGATTGCCGGATTTGTGATGGTGGACCTTTAGTAATGAGGGTCAAGTTGCAGCAGTACCTTACAGTAGTAGCAGTACCTACAGTAGTAACAGTACCTTACAGTAGTAGCAGTACCTTACAGTAGTAACAGTACCTTACAGTAGTAACAGTACCTTACAGTAGTAACAGTACCTTGCAGTAGTAACAGTACCTTGCAGTAGTAACAGTACCTTGCAGTTGTAGGTCTGAGGAGATGCGAGGTGGGTGTTGCACTGGTACAAGAGAGCAACACACGTAGGGGAGTGTGCAGGATGTGCAACTTGGTGTATGGTCCTCTGTACGAGAGAGCAACACTACCGAAGACCAGTTCTCCCAGTAGCTTGGTGTCTCCCTCTTGTTGACGGTACTGTAAAGTTATGTTACCAACGTTACAGTGAATGTTACCATTACAGTGAGTGTTAGAGTAGTACAGTTAGTGAGTGTTATAGTGTATGAGCTGGAGCAGTCTATGGGTTACCGCACAAAAATTCTTACACATTCAGTAATAATTTAAAAAAAAATTATAACTGACTCAGAGATGACTAAACACCAGCTGATACTTGCTAGTGACTTCAGCTTAAGTTTATCCAAGAAACTGACCCTCAAGCAGCTGACCCTCAAGCAGCTGACCCTCAAGCAGCTGACCCTCAAGCAGCTGACCCTCAAGCAGCTGACCCTCAGGTAGATGACTTCACAAACACTGAACAACTGCTTGCTACTACTAAGCCAACAATATTATTAGACAAGTTGCTCACTGCCTGACCATATCTGGACCAATACTATATCCTCACTACAAGCTGGGATAATCACAGAACACCACACACTACTACCCCCATCTTCCTCATGACCAACTTATGTAAACTGCCACAAGACACAAGTAAGACCTCATTTCATCTCCACGATGAGTCATCAGTAAATAACTATTTCAGCATTAGGTGACACTGGCTGCCACAGACAGCCAGCTGACAGCCATGATATTGACAAATGTATCAAAGTTTTTCTTCAAAAAATCCAAAATTTCTACAAAAGACATTGCCCAATCAAAACTAAACAGATCACACCAGACTAAACAGCCCATGACTTACAAATAGCAACCTTAACCCTTTGAGGGTCCAAGCCATAGTTCTATGCCATGAACTCAACTCACTCATAAGCTGTGATAGGTAAATTTGGGCCTAGATATGAGAGACTGGGTCTTTGTGGTAAGTGTGCACCAAACCCTGAAGCACGCAGTGCATCAGAAAATAAGACTGTGACCGTGTTTTTGGATTAAAACAGCACCTTTGCAGTGTATTTTCCTGTGGTTTTTATGGCTGTATTTGTGGTTTCTTGGTCTCATTTGATAGAATGGAAGATATATTACAGAAACAGAGATGATCTTGATTGGCTTTAGTACTCAAAATAGCTAAAAATTGAGCTCAAAGTAGCAGAAATGTTTGATTTTTGCCGATGTTCTAGAGTATACAAATCATATCACGTGTCCAATACACATCAACTGGTGGGTCTAATATACATTTAGAAATGCACTGATATTATTTATACAATTATTACAATATTGCATAAGAGTAATTCTTCTATTTTTTGGTGTGAATAAAAATTCTTTATGTAAATAAAAAATCAAAAGGGAATTCATGTGTAAATCCTGGAAATGTATCTAATAAACAGAGGAAATGTTATTTTAGTGCCAGGAATGTCTGCATTGTTTATTCTGGACTATTTTGAAATTGGAATATTCTGAACTTTGTGTGAAAATGGCCAAATTTCCAATTTCCAATCACTTTATTAGGTAGTTGAAATAGTCGATTGGTCAGTTTCTTATGCTCAGTCGATAAAATAGAAGCGATACTAGCAAAATAGGTAGTAGGTTGGTAGACAGCAGCCACCCAGGGAGGTACTACTGTCCTGCCAGGTGACTGAAACAAAAACCTGTAACTGTTTTACATGATGGTAGGATTGCTGGCGTCTTTTTTTCTCTCATAAACACGCTGGATAAAAGGTATATCTTGCTACTTCTACTTACACTTAGGTCACACTACACAGGCACGCACATGCATATACAGTGGACCCCTGGTTAACGATATTTTTTCACTCCAGAAGTATGTGCAGGTGCCAGTACTGACCGAATTTGTTCCCATAAGGAATATTGTGAAGTAGATTAGTCCATTTCAGACCCCCAAACATACACGTACAAACACACTTACATAAATACACTTACATAATTGGTCGCATTCGGAGGTGATCGTTATGCGGGGGTCCACTGTATATATACATACACACATCATGTTTTTTTTTCTCTTTCTATTGTCCATGGGGAAGTGGAAAAGAATCTTTCCTCCATAAGCCATGCGTGTTGTATGAGGCGACCAAAATGCCGGGAGCAATGTGCTAGTAACCTCTTCTCCTCTACACATTTACTAAAAATGAGAAGAAAAACTTTATAAAACTGGGATGCTTGAATGTGTGTGGATGTAGTGCAGATAAGAAAGAGATGATTGCTGATGTTATGAATAAAAAGAAGTTGGATGTCCTGGCCCTAAGTGAAACAAAGCTGAAGGGGGTAGGCGAGATTCAGTGAGGAGAAATAAATGGGATTAAGTCAGGAGTATCTGAGAGAGTTAGAGCTAAGGAAGGGGTAGTAATAATGTTGAAGGACCAGTCATGGAAGGAAAAGAGGGAATATAAATGTGTAAATTCAAGGATTATGTGGATTAAAATAAGGGTCAGATGTGAAAAGTGGGTCATAATAAGCGTGTATGCACCTGGAGAAGAGAGGAGTGTAGAGGAGAGATAGAGATTTTGGGAGATGTTAAGCGAATGTATAGGAACCTTTGAACCAAGTGAGAGCGTAATTGTGGTAGGGGACCTAACTGCTGAAGTAGAAGAAACATTTAGAGAGGGTGTGGTAGGTAAATTTGGGGTGCCAGGTGTAAATGATAATGGGAGCCCTTTGATTGAACTTTGTATAGAAAGGGGTTTAGTTATAGGTAATACATATTTTAAGAAAAAGAGGATAAATAAGTATACAAGATATGATGTAGGGCGTAATGACAGTAGTTTGCTGGACTATGTATTGGTAGATAAAAGATTGTTGAGTAGATTTCAGGATGTACATGTTTATAGAGGGGCCACAGATATATCAGATCACTTTCTAGTTGTAGCTACAGTGAGAGTAAAAGGTAGATGGGATAAAAGGGAAATAGAAGCAGCAAGTAAGAGAGAGGTGAAGGTGTATAAACTAAAAGAGGAGGCAGTTAGGGTAAGAAATAAAACTATTGGAGGATAGATAGGCTTCGTTGAGAAATAGGCAATGGGTTAGATGACCAAGAAATCGTAATGACCGATTGCAAACAACCATCCCCCGCCGGGATGAACCTGCGTTCATAGAGTCTCAAAACTGTCAGTGGCTAACCGCGACAGGCTGAGTTTTGAGACTCTATGACCGCGGTTCAATCCCGGCCGGGGTATGGTTTGTTTGCAATCGTGTCATTACGATTTCCTTGAGCCTGTTGACGGCAGTGAAGGGACTTGAGCTAGAGTTCGTCACGGCCACGCTAGCTGGAGATTCGTCTGTAAAAACTGCATTTGTGGTCAAACAGGAGGTGCCTGTGCTAACTTCCTATGGTGTAGAAATATACCTAGTTGGATGAATCTTATTGTGGCTAGCTGGTCTAGTGGCTAACGCGACGGGCTGGAGTTTTGAGACTCTATGACTGCGGGTTCAATCCCGGCCGGGGGTATGGTAGGTCTAAGATGTATGAGGTAGGTTTAAGAATGTAGTGTTAGAGTGTTCAGCAGAAGTTTGTGGTTACAGGATAGTGGGTGCGGGAGGGAAGAGGAGCGATTGGTGGAATGATGATGTAAAGAGAGTAGTAAGGGAGAAAAAGTGAGGTTTTTACAAATAAGTGATGCAAGGAGGGAAGAGTATATGGAGAGAAAAAGAGAGGTTAAGAGAGTGGTGAAGCAATCTAAAAAGAGAGCAAATGAGAGGGCGGGTGAGATGTTATCAACAAATTTTGTTGAAAATAAGAAAAAGTTTTGGAGTGAGATTAATAAGTTGAGGAAGCCTAGAGAACAAATGGATTTGACAGTTAAAAATAGGAGAGGAGTTATTAAATGGAGAGTTAGAGGTACTGGGAAGATGGAGGGAATATTTTGAGAAATTGTTAAATGTTGATGAAGATAGGGAAGCTGTGATTTTGTGTATAGGGCAAGGAGGAATAACATCTTGTAGGAGTGAGGAAGAGCCAGTTGTGAGTGTGGGGGAGGTGTGTGAGGCAGTGGGTAGAATGAAAGTGGGTAAGGCAGCTGGGACTGATGGAATAAAGATAGAAATGTTAAAAGCAGGTGGGGATATAGTTTTGGAGTGGTTGGTGCTATTATTTAATAAATGTATGGAAGAGGGAAAGGTACCTAGGGCCTGGCAGAGAGCATCAATCAATCAATCAAGTTTATTCTCTACAAGGATTACAATGCGGGGTTTACAGATTTTGGATATTGTGTGGTTTACATGTTTTAAAATACTCATTACAGAGGGAGCCACTGGGACACCTAGCATGGCTAGGTATTTCGGGCAGACTTAGATTAATTCTAAACTTTAAATTATTACAGATTATGGTATTAAGGCTAAGTGACTACATTATAGTTTGTGAGTTTAACAATGTGAATGCTTTTGTTTTGGCACAATACATAGTGTCTATATTGAAGTATCATAGGCAAGCTTATGACTAGTTAGGATTCATTATTTTAAGATTAAGATTCGTATTTCTGTGTTTATAGTCAATGGGTGAGTGAGTGTAAGCGTGAACCACCAGGTGGTTTACATGTAGTTAGTTGACGGGGTGTATCAGGGAGATAAGATGTTTTCTAACGGTAGTTTTGAAAGTGATGAATGTGTCTGCAGTTCTAGAGTTTTCAGGTAGGGTGTTCCAGATTTTAGGCCCTTTGACACACATTAAATTTTTGTCAAGGTTTAGTCGGACACGGGGAATGTCATAGAGATGTTTGTGTCTGGCGTTATGCCTATGGGTCCTTTCACAACTATCAAGAAAGCATTTTAGGTCAAGGTTAATATTGGAATTTAAGGTCCTGTAGATGTAGCTTGCACAGTAGTAAGTGTGGATGTTCTGAACAGGGAGTAAGTTCAGATCTATGAAGAGTGGGGGGGAGGGTGTTGCCAGGGATGGGATTTAGTGATTTTTCTTACTGCAGCTTTTTGTTGGGTTATTATTGGCTTTAGATGTGTTGCTGCAGTTGATCCCCAAGCACAAATAGCATAGGTGAGGTATGGATAAATGAGTGAATAGTATAGTGCGAGAAGGGCAGTTTGTGGCACATAATATCGTATCTTGGAGAGGATCCCCACTGTTT